AAAATTGTCCATCTTTATGGAATTTTCCAAAATTAAGTCCAACCACCCCACCAGTCTCAACATTTTATCAATGGATGAACTTCACTGTTTCCAAATATCAATTGGTTAAAATCGCGATGCTTCTTAAATTTATGGGAGAAATATCTACTACAAGATCAAAGGTATATCAAGTTGCGGAAATGGGATCGAAGAAGTTACCATTATCAAGGCTTCAGTGCAAGTGCGAGACCTAGCTTTGGGGCTGCATTAACAGCCTTAGAGTCGTACTGGGCGGAAAAGGTAAACAATGACTTTGGTCTCCATTCGTGTTGGCATAGCATGGCAGCTTTTCCATCATCCGAGAATCGTGTTTTTATGACAGTGAATGGATCAACTGCATGAGAGCTTCCAATTGTGAAGGTGTTCTGATAGCTAGAAAACCTATGGATGAGTTCAGCAGCAACTGTAGTTCCATTCTTTGTATCAACATAATGAATGTAAGACGCCTTCAGTGCCTGTCCTTTATCGGTCCTGCACAAGCAAAGGCGAGTTTTGATGAAAAATGAGAAGAAATTGAGACAGTGGCAAGAATCCTAAGTCATACGAAGCATTGCACCAAGTCTCAGAATATTTGTTGGCAAAAAAATCTATTTCTCAAGTCCAATGTAGCATGTGCTAGCATTCCCCAACTACTAATGCCACTTTCACATAGCGCAGAGGTTTTGGATTGAACCCACAACAAAGATATCTCAAACCACAACTCAAATTCAACCTTTTGCTACAGTATCTTCTCTCACATAAACACTTTTCAACTCAAGTTCTCTAACTCAAAAAGAACGGGCCCATGTGATTCATCAAAATACACACTAAGGAGGCGGAACAAACCAAGAGACTAACAGCTAACAAGAAAAACATTTGCTCAGCCTCTCCACGCCCAGAAAATCTATACTGGCCTTCAAAGGCGACAATCACTTCTTGTGATTGCCACCTTACCAGCTTTGTCTTGTAGTAAAGTGTAGGTCACCAGTAAAACTCATTTTCTAGTAGAAGTCAAGTTTTCAAACCGTGCTGTGAAATCACTATTAATACATAGAAACACACATGAACATAGAGAAGAGAACTAATTGCTTTGTTCAAAGTAAAGGCTGATTGGCACTTACAGTAAAAGAGCGGCGGAAAAATCAGGCTTGTTCAAGCTGATACCCGCATTGTACTTGATGAATGAAGCAGAAGCAGTATCAAATCCAACTTCACCACCCAAACTCAGCTCCTTTGATCCAATGGTAGCTGATAGCTCCAAAAGGGGATTCGGGTTCAGACCAATACTGGAATCAAAGGCCGCTTGAGGATGAAGGTACAACACGTCTAGCTGCAGTTGCATGCAGAAATAAAGTCAAATGGCTTTATCATTATCAGCATATGCCCGAATTGATATTAATCCTTGGCCATACCCTCTAAAATAATCTATCTGAAAATAAACAGCATTGCTAGGTTCTTTTTTTTTTGTATTTTTTCAAAGAGAATATTGTGCAAAGCACTTCTTGTAGTCATCGTAAATTTGTAATATTAGTACTAACGCAGTTCTACTTGATTTTATCTACACCTCTTCAAAGGCACGCAACCCTTTTAAAAGTTCCTGAAATGG